ACTTGATATCATCACTTAAAATCTATCAATAACAACGTATCAAAACTTGATATCATCACTTAAAATTTATTAATAACAACGAAACTCAGACGGCAACTGGTCTGAATAATAACTTTGTATTTCAGTATCCATTTTAGCTACTGTCTTAGAATTTATCATGGAGTACGGAAAAATAAACCTTTTCACAAGGACTGAGGGAGAGTTTTGAAAAACTAAACGAACAGCATCATGGTTTTTAAATTCCCATTCTAATAGAACGTCGCTGCATAAACAATTCTACATATTAAAGTTCGGATCGCGGAAGAAAATAACAAATTAGCGTTTGCGATGAAACCTCAGAAACTTAAAATATCGAGCTTTTCAACTGATAATGATTTTAGAAGTACCATATTCCAAGGGTTTCATGGTTTTTGGCCCGGCATGGCCAGGTGGTTAGGGCGCTCGACTCGCAATCTGAGGGTCGCGGGTTCGAATCCCTGTCACACCAAACATGCTCGCCCTTTCAGCCGTGGGGGCGTTATAATGTGACGGTAAATCCACAATCCGTTGGTAAAAGAGTAGCCCAAGAGTTGGCGGTGGGTGGTGATGACTAGCTGCTTTCCCTCCAGTCTCACACTGCTAAATTAGGGACGGCTAGCGCAGATAGCCCTCGTGTAGTTTTGCTCGAAATTAAAAAAAAACCAAACAGTCATGGTTTTTATGGACTAGAGCAATGTTTAATCAAATTATATCATTACAGATTTATTAGTAGCTCTTAACTATGCCCACCTTTCGCCACTTTCCAGCGAATGTGAGGCGCGGGGTGCCCCTCCGCCTGACAGTGCAGCATGACAGATCTGCCCAGTATAGCATCAGAGTCAACGGGCGGTTTGGTCCAATGGGGTGGTGCTGTGGAAGAAACTAGATTAATTATTATCATTTATATATATATATATATATATTTATTTATTTTATATTTTTAAACTATGTAACTAAGATGAAAAGAAATGGACTGTCTGTGTATGAAATGAAAAACATTACTTTTGAGCATAGATAGGGAAGACTTTTATAGAATTTGGAGAAACTATAACAAATATTAATACTTTACACAGGAATAATAATAATAATGATATTTACACAGGAATAAACCGAAATAAACATGAAATATTATGTTTCATGTTAATTAATGTATTTTAAAACCTAATATCACAAGAATTCAAATAATGTTGTTTTCGTATATATGTTACAGATTCCTTTTCTTTCACACCAAAGGTAAGATTGAAAACAAAATCTGTGACGTAGAAGCCTAATTCTTTCTTTAATTAGCCATGCCCTCTGCCGTGGACTGCAGTTTTGCCTATTCAAGGCTCATTAGCGCAGCTTGGGCTAGTATACAAAAGAAAAACAGTTAGGCCTCTTATAACGGTGATTATTATACACAATTAATGGGGTTATTAGTGAATGAAAAGGACTTAAAACCCCCATTAATAGTATACTTTTGCTATTGAATGATTTTTTAAAAAATGATTTGCTTATTTCTTTGTTGTTAAGCGCAAAGCCACACAATGGGCTATCTGTGCTGTGCTCACCATATAGTATCAAAACACTGTTTGTATCGGTGTGAGCCCTCAGACTTACAGCTGAGACACTGGGAGGCAGAATGATTGATATGTATGATAGTTAATTTTAGTTTCGTATAAAAACTGATACAGAAAGGATAATCACTGCCGTGCATTAAAAAATTACCTTTTAACAGAAAAATTTGTGTCATAAGTTCAAAAAGAGGCAAAGTACAAGGTGAATCTGACCTTTTTCTTTGAAAACCAAGTTAAAATTCTTTGCAGACCAAAACATATGACTGAAATGAATGACTGGTTATTTCCCATTAACTAATCTGTACTTTGGGAATACAATATCACATCACATAAAAGGTTCACCTTTAACTTCTAGTTGAGCACTAGAGGAATCTGTTCCCACAGAATTGGAGGCTTTGCACGTATAGTTTCCATTGTTTCGTCGAGATAGGTTGTTCAATGTAAGTGTTGAAACGTATCCATCGTCAGCCACATATACTGAGGTTCCATGGTCTCCGTCGTTCAACTGTCGACCATCTTTTAACCATTTCATGGATATTGGAGGATCTCCAGCAACTACAACACAAGTAACCGCTGCTCTCGATCCTTCATACAAGTCGCTCTTAAAGCTAAAGGGATCAATTGCCGGGGCGACTGTGGTTACAAAAAAAAATAGGGTTAATATAATGGCATTTTGTGGTTATAAAAAATAGGGTTAATATAATGGCCTTTTTGTGGTTATAAAAAATAGGGTTAATATAATGGCATTTTTGTGATTATAAAAAATAGGGTTAATTTAATGGCATTTTTGTGGTTATAAAAAATAGGGTTAATATAATGGCATTTTTGTGGTTATAAAAAGTAGGGTTAATATAATGGCAGTTTTGTGGTTATAAAAAATAGGGTTAATATAATGGCATTTTGTGGTTATAAAAAATAGGGTTAATATAATGGCATTTTATGTCGGGTAAGAAAACTCATCGTGAAACTCTTGAATTTTATTTCAAACTGTAGTATCATTTGATATGAAAACACACTATTATGACCTTCTTAATCTGTGGAGAATGTAAAGGATATATATACAGGTGTACGTTAGTACATAAATATTTAATTGTCAACTTACATTAGAGAAAATAATTAGGATTTTCTCGATATTAAGTATTTCATTTCTTGTTTAGAATCTTTGGTCTGCCTTTGAAATATAGTATTAATCTACTGACAATTTTAAAAATAAAGATATATTTGCTGCATGGGATCAACGTTTAGAGCATAGATTACAAATTTCTATATTTAATTTATTATCATTATCAGAACAAAGTTTGGACACCGATCACTGTTAAGTTGTGCGCTTAGTTGTCTGATGTGCTGGAAATTAAAGCTTATTAATGAATAGCTTTCTAAGATTATCCTCTAAACTGATAACAGTTTTTTACAGTACATCCTAGGGCCAGGATTACTCGTAATCTTTAAACCAGCAAGTTTAGTTAGGACGAGAGTATTTGTAAAAATAAAATAAGATAAGATCAAAATGTTTAAGATTTCATTAAATGCCTTATATATCTTACGTTAAACATTACTTTATTCTAGAATTATAATATACTTGTAATAATCTTTTTACAAGTAGAATAAACCATTTGTTTAGTAAATTATTAATAGTTAAAAAAGTTTTTAACAATTGATCTAATACGATACTGAATCTTAAAATCATCTCAGAATTTAACACGTTAACAATACTGCATAGTTAATTTAAAGTGAATAATAATACACCATATCATGTTAAAATATATAATTCTGGTTTCTTATTAGCATTAAACCAAGACATTTCAAAGAAACTAGATTTCTTATTAAACACCAAACCAACGAAACAATTACTATCTGTCTGACTATCCATCGATTGATCTGTTTGTCTGTCCGTTCATCGATTGACGATCTATCTATGTACTCGCGTCTTTATCTATCTTAAAGGAATTTAGATGTGAATACTTTTAGCAGAATTACTGGAGCAGTTTCTTTTTTTCTCACAAATTATTAGAATATTCGAAATAAATCACGAAGTAAGCTATCATTTTGAGACTACTAAGATTCAGTAATAAGCCTTCAGAGGAATGTACTTTTCTCTATGAGAACTCCTTCCAAATATCAGACAATCAATGACTTGGAAAAATAAGACACTTCTCTTGGAGTTACTGATAAGCTCGTAAAAGGCAGCACGCACTTTTTCCATGGAAACACCAACCGAACTTTCTTAAATCTTCTCTCGAGGAAGCAGGAAAATGAAACTCACAAAGAGAGTTGTTTAGAAGGTTATCACTACTTCCTTCCAAAAATGACAAAAAGTGAAGGAACTAACAATGCATTAGAAAAGAAAAAAATACAAGTCTTCGGAGATGAACTCGATAAAGAAAAAAAAGAAAGATAAATCTTTGAAAATATAATCAATAATGTCAGAGTGGTTTTAGTAAAAATCGTAAAGGTTGGACCGAAGTAAAATATTTCCAAACTTTTTTTCCTACTAGTTAGTTGAAGCACTGAAACTTCAAGAATTATTAAAATGATGTCGCTTTCGAAATGTTCAACATTCGTTTGCTCGATAATATACAAATTAAATTAAGAAATTATCTACAGTTGGTCAGATTATTACTTGGCTTTATTACTGATTATCAAATTATATTTCATTTCTGACTAAACCAATTATTCTGGTAGTTAATTATTGTAGTTTTCATGAATATTCGTCAACAAACGAAGCTAATGTAAAATGCTTTTTTTTTTCACAAGCATTATTCTATTGTTCAATACCAGAAAGATACCCTGTTTTATACTATTGTCAGACTGCTACAGGGCAAGTTACTTAACATAAAACAGCGTTTACCTGAATTTCTTGGAAGACTACTGTGCTTTTAAGTGGTGGTATTTAATGAGACCATTTACATATCATTAGTAAACCAAGCATTATGTATCAAATCATCTAAGCGTTCTTATCTGTATGTTTGTACTCTGCTGAGCTGAAAAAATAAGACAAATGTTACCAATAAGTATTATCTCTTGAAAACTCATTAATGTTACACGTTATATATGAAACAATGAGAAAAGTATACATATAGCTTTCGGTCCTAATAAAGCTCATTTGTAAACTGGTATCCTTATCAGTTAAGTTGAAACGCAGTAAGAAAATAACAAAGTATTTTATTTAATTTTAAATAATTTATCTATGCTACATACTTTAGAAAGAATTAAATCCAGCGAAAGGAGAAAGTGACTGAAGATTTATCTTTACCAATAATTATATTAGCTGTATAAAGTGTACGATGGTTCCAAAATTATACAAGCAACACATACATAAAATATGTCCAAAAATTATACTGAAGAGAAATATTTTCATACGATGTGTTTTCGTAATAAATTGTTCTATTTCTGTTAAAATCTTTCAAGAAATGTCACCAGAGAAGTTAGCTGATTTGATCATTCAGATTATTTATTAGTTATATTATTGATATCTAATAGATAGTTTTATAAATTACGTCTAGAAAAAAACTTAAATAGCTATAACGTACTACCTAAGATATACTGGATTATCCTCATGCATATATAAATATTTTGTCTAGTATTCTCAGATGACAAGGTAATGTGTATTTAATACACTTTAGTCAGATGACAAGATAATGTGTATTGAATACACTTTAATCAGATGACAAGATAATGTGTATTGAATACACTTTAGTCAGATGACAAGGTAATGTGTATTTAATACACTTTAGTCAGATGACAAGGTAATGTGTATTTAATACACTTTAGTCAGATGACAAGATAATGTGTATTTAATACACTTTAGTCAGATGACAAGGTAATGTGTATTTAATACACTTTAGTCAGATGTCAAGGTAATGTGTATTTAATACACTTTAGTCAGATGACAAGTAATGTGTATTTAATACACTTTAGTCAGATGACAAGGTAATGTGTATTTAATACACTTTAGTCAGATGACAAGGTAATGTGTATTTAATACACTTTAGTCAGATGACAAGGTAATGTGTATTTAATACACTTTAGTCAGATGACAAGATAATGTGTATTTAATACACTTTAGTCAGATGACAAGATAATGTTTATTTAATACACCTTAGGTGATAAGGAAGTAAGAAGTTGTCGAGTTTATTTGTTGGTGTTTGACCTACATCTGTTGATAACACAGGCCTGCTAATTTAAAGTTCATAAAAGTTGTTCTGGTTTTATTAACGGATTTTCCATAATTCAGCTACGCAGATTTCAAAAATAATATTAATTTTTTTCTATCACGTAAGGATTTTTTACAAATTGGAAAGGAAAAGCACACTCTTACTTAGATCAAGTTATTATTTCGTTTACTACAACGAACAAGTTTTGTTTTTACGTTTGTTACGTTTGGGTTCTAGAACGATCGATAAGATTCTCATGTCGCGATTGGTCTAGAGAAATCTATAGCCAGTGGTTGTCAGCATTTTAAGTATAACAAAATGTGACCCGATTTCACTGGGAATGATTCACTTGTGTAAAAGTACATATGACTTTTGTGAAAAATCTGTACGTGATAGAGAAAAATAGGTATCATATTCGGATTCAGCGTACAGTAAATTACTGTAGAACATGTAAAACTTTCAAGACAATAATAACATCAAAGACTTGTGTTATCAGACTATCTTTTGTACGACAACTGTGTTCATTGTCGGCCTTAGTTAAGATCTTAAAATAACTTGATTGGATTTGGATGTTTTAGAGCAAAGCCACATTGTACTATCTCCTGTGTCCACTCCGAGTAATCGAACCCCGGATTTTAGCGCTTTAAGTCCGGGGGACAAAGTAATTTGAATGGACAACTATAAAAAAAATTTGACAAAATGGAAACTGCGTTCGTGATAATGCAGATAGGAAAGCCTTAGAATGTGGTATTCAAACTTAACTGCTTGAAAAACCGATATCATTTTGTGAAATTTTAGAAGCTTTATCATTCGTGATTGAAGAATGTCGAGCTATTCTAACAAGTAGGAAGATGATAAAAAACAAAAACATTACTTAGATTTAGAGAGAGCTAGCGGGCTCTCAAAATGCAAATCCGAAAAGTAAGTGAAATATGGAGACGAGATACACGTTATAGCTTGAAAAGGGAAAGGGTTTGACACGAGACATTGAGATATAAGCTTAAAAAAGCTAATTAAAAGTTAATAAAGGTATTCCTATAATAAGATAAAGATAGTAAAATTGCTAAAAATGTGTTTGGTTTAAAAATTAAATTATTCAAACATTTCTCATGTGTCAGTCTTTCTTTAATAGTATAGCCGCATATTTAAACTATTGAGATATGGACTAACCAGATAAGTAACAAATATAGAGGCAGCCCACCTATACGTATAAAGGGAATAGCTAAACTAGGCACTGAGAGGAGAAGGCAGGACGCGAAAAAAAGAAGAGATAAATCAATCAAAAGATGGATAACATTTGTAACCCTCTCTATTTGAATAAACCGGGAATGATTACCACCATGATGTTAGTTCATTGATGATCAGTTCATAAGTAGAGATAAATCAGAATATGGATAACATTTTAACCCTCTATTTGAATAAACCGGGAACGATTATCACAAATATGTTAGTTCATTGATTGCCAGTTCATAATACTTT